GATGTTGGTCGATCTGTTGCCTCACCCATAAACCAACTAGGTTAGTTAATTAGTTAGTCATTCAGCTGTAACAGCTTTTCGGTGCCTAGCTGCCGTGTCACCAGAAGGAAACATAAGGGCCGGGATACTGCCAGGTCGCCCAAGCCTAGACAGAGGAAGTCGAGAGGCAGAGGTTGGGTTCGAACCACGGACCGGAAGGTCCGTGGTAAATACGCGCTCTAACAACGGAGCCATATCGCCCCGACCAACTAGATCAATAGGTAGACTAATCATAAACTATAGGATGACTAATGTCCCAGTTAATGATGGAACACGGACCTTCTAAAATTTGATGTATAGGTTTCTTGTAGATCCTTCTTGGCGTTCTTCACCTCTCTCATGGGACGGTCAATCGATTTTCGACACGATTGACCAATCACATTCTGCGAATCACACTGTCCTACACCCATCAATCCGTTTTCAGGTTGATCATCCACCAACGATGGCCAAAGGAGCCTGGAAAAAACTGGTCTCATCCCAAAGAAAGAAGGCGGTCATGGCCTGCTTCCGTATGGTCCCACTCTATGCACTGCCGGTACACCGGGCGGTCAACCTCTTCATCTCATCCTATACACAAGAATGGCTGGACTATGAGGAGTCTTTGGGAGTCAAGCTCATCGAAGATATCACAAACGAGGAGGGTGTAAGTGCGGGCAGTGAGGCCGACTCGGGGTGTGTGTCGGGTACAGCCACACCAGCCAAGTCAACGAGTGGGTATTCATTAGACAGTTCATTCAAATCGATCGAAGGTAAGCAATTATCGCTGTTGATGACATTCTCGAAATAAACAATATGTATACTGGAACCCGCCTTACAAAATAGAGGGTTAGTGTCTATCAGCAAAGTACGATTTCTGGAATACGAAATCTGTTGACATGGGAAAACAGACAGACTACGATATTAGGAGGCCCTTCTTGCTTGCGCATCTGATGAGCTTCGTATAGGTTCGGGCTAGCGGCTGCCAATTCAGACGAACACCCAACTACTGGTGGCTATTCATCAGTATGAAATTGAGCGAACACTGCCTTGGATACATTATAAACGAGAGACTCAGCTGGACTCCAGCTGAGTCTCTGGCAAAACCGAATAGGTTTCCAAATGAGTGTATTTCGCTAATTTCGTGCAATTTGGTTTCAAGTAGAACATAAGATTGACGCCTACTTGATGAGCTCCAAGAAGGGCGAAACCGCTCGTGGGCTGTCGAAGAGTTTTCAGCAACCTTGTGAGTAGTGTGTTACACTTAAATAGGTCTGTTTTAAGCCATCCGTCGCCTATTTTGTCCGTACATGAGATGCTCGTACAAGAGTCAATGGATTTACCTGTAAGTGCTCAACATGAAACGTTTTTTCAGTGACTCATTCAAAATATTTTTTGTGCAAAACAGATTCTGCGGCTTCACATGCCTTGGAGTTCATGGATTCCGTACTGGATCTCAGCTTTCCCAGTGAAACTGAGGATGGCGGGGATGGTTGTGCGAAGCCTGTTCTGCCCGCTGGACCACCGACAGTCTCCGGTTCGGAGGGTGGCGCCCCAACAGATTCAGCAGCTCCCGATCCGTTGACCCAACTCTTGACGGCTTTGAGTCGATCAGCGATGGAGCAGGCACCAGATGACCCACTGTATTTAGCCTATGCACGAATAATGGGCAAGGTAAGAGTCGATTCCCGACGACCGGGGATTGAATCTTATTCATTCAAATGCTTTGCGGTACATTGTTTTGTGTCACCAATGTTTGGTCTGTTCACTATGCCGGAACCGCCGCAAATTTTTTTAAAGAAGTACAAATTCAAGGCGTTTAGCATGTATGAACTATTTCGAGAAATTGTTCTGAGAATCATTTCGTTTCCAGTCGAGCCCGGAACGAACGTCTTCCAATTATGAGATTGACCTCCAAAAGCATGGATGCCTTAAATCTTTGTGTAAGGTCATCGCTGTATGGAGGGAATGTACGGTAATGACCCCAATTTATCCCCACCGGTTTCAGGTGTAGATCGATGACATCATTGGGAATCCGGCCTCTGCTGTCGTAGCCTTCAGGGAATTTGGTTGCATCAAGTTAGCATACTGGGCTCTTCCACCTCGTGATGGGACTTTGGTCTTGCTGAGCAAAAAGTGATCGATGGCCGAGATCTGAATGTGGACCAATTAGAGGTTTTTGCACCACTGTGGGTACTAATTCGGGACCCATTTCAAGTGATTTTACTCTGGGACTGTGTAAAGAGGGTCAGACTGCTTTCCGGTCATCGTGGACAGCGATGAACCAGCGGCTAATCCTTTCTGGTTCACTGAAGGATGAGTGTGCTAGCGAGGAATGAAGTGAAAAGGTGATGCGAAAATCTTGTCTTTGGGGTAAACAGCCGCGGGGCCACCCGGATTAATTCGGGACCGGCGTGATTGAAAATCACCCAACACAAGCCGCACATAGTGTGACGAACAGATATTAGCTAGTCAACAGCATGATGTACCCATCAGCTGGATAACCTGCTACATCCTACGGCGTGCGGAAATCTGCACGTAGAATCGAGTGAAGCGAATGCGAATAACATACGGCGTTCAGCTTATAGCAACCGTTTTCATTCCACATTGGGATATCACGGCTGGTCTTTCACCTACTGTTGATAGTCTTCCGAAAGTCCCATGTTTCTCACCCAGTGAAGCTCTGTTTTCTCCCCGGCTTACGTTGCTTCACATTGGTTTCATACTCTCAGTTCAGTGGACTGCAGTTAGCTGATTGTCTGTATGATCCTGCGGAAAATTTGCTCAAGTAGAACTGCCAACTTGTTCGCACAGACGACCCTAGCTTTATGATGTAGTCTCTGAAGTTCTAATCTGGAAGGTTTGATTCTTCTTGGAAATTTACTAGCTATCGAGAGATGATGATTCCAGCGAGTACGATACATCACCAGGTTCCTTTGGCCGTTCCACATGATCTTACAATAGAGAATACCCGTCTGAATCATTAGATTTCAGGTGCATGACTGTTTTCTCAAGCGAAATTTCGAATGAGACAAGGGGTCGGTTCTACAATTATGTGTGCCGACTGAACCCAAACCCGAAGACGACGATGAAAAAATGCCTTTCACTTTTCAGAGTTGCAGCGGTGAAGACGAAGAAGAGGAGGAAGAGGAGGAGGAAGAAGAAGGCGCAACGTTTCAGGTGAGAGACGACATCATTTCTGCTTTGGGAAGAAGGGATTTGACATCTAGTCACGTGAAATGTAGATAACAAGTGTTGTTACTTGCTGCATTGGTCGTGCAACTTTATATCGGTCCCTGGCCTCCTGCTCTGCCCACTATGGTATATTAAAAAAGGCGTGGTAGCTTCAGACAGTCCTTCATGTACACCAAGTTAAGTAAGTTCTTGGCCTGAAACTCCCAAGCTAGCGTTCATGCCGAAACAACCACAGAAGATGCACAAGGTATATTAACGCCCAAAACGAAGTCATGAACACTTGTACAATGCTTCATGTATTTAGTATAAGCGGCGACAATCTCCTGGAAATTCTGACGCCTTCTGGATGTGCCATTGGCGATCAGCCAATACTGCATTATGATTGGCTGTTGGGTCCAGACTACCGACCAATCAGATCTCGGCTTGATGCCGGACCTACAGGTGTCCCGAACTTTTGGCCAATCTTGCGCGGGATACGCTTCTCGGCCGTAGCAGCATCTGACTACGAGCGGTAAAGCGGGATCCATGTGGAATTCCTCCTCTGTTGGAGAGTAGTGATCTGACAGCTGATTGGTCATACACATTAATTTGAGGGGAAATGTCTGATTGCTTAGTGTGTTCTCCTCGTGTAGGAGTACCTTGGGTTCCTTAAGCCCGGGAAATTCCTACTCATACAGAGCATGGTGACCAGTTTTTTGTTCCCCTGGGGGATTCTATGTAAACGTTTTTACTTCGAGATGTAGTGAATCTACTCTCAAGTGCCATTCTTGATGGATTTCGTCCGTCTCGAATTTCCATCTTTAAGGATCAAGAAGAACAGAAACTGCAACTGTTGAGTGAACAGAATCGTTTGGCCGATCGTGGTGCTGCAGAAATGGTGTTGTTACAACTGGCTGCTTCTCGAGGTAAGCGGGTTACAGTTCGTCTGTTTGTCCGACCTATTTCTCGCACGATACTAACTAGGTTATTGATGACACTTGAGATTTGAAGATCGCCAGGCTGTTCGCACCAAACATCTCCAGGCAAATTGCAGGCCTTTCCACTCTCTGGCTTCTTCATACGCGTGGAGATGCATTTCAGATCCTACTGACCACATCGCAAGGTAACAATGATGACGGAAATGATCTCTTGTCCTTCATATCTTCTCACCAACCCCTTCATCCTCTTTGTCCGACGTTTCTCTCACATGATAATAACTAGCCTTCTGTTGACGCTTGAGATTTGTTGGTTGTGGATCAGGTGGCTGTTGATCTGTTCGCCGAGCTTGGTAATTGGCTTGCAAACGTTTCGTCACCATACGAGGAGACATCATCAGTGCGCAGTTGAGTGGCTTATTGATGACACTTGAGATTTGAAGATCGCCAGGCTGTTCGCACCAAACATCTCCAGGCAAATTGCAGGCCTTTCCACTCTCTGGCTTCTTCATACGCGTGGAGATGCATTTCAGATCCTACTGACCACATCGCAAGGTAACAATGATGACGGAAATGATCTCTTGTCCTTCATATCTTCTCACCAACCCCTTCGTACAATTTGTAGGTGAAGCAACTCCCGTTGCTCAGGCCAGTATCCAACTGGGTATCGCACTGTTATTGGGAGGAAACGTTTCCGTTCAAAGCCGCATGTTGGAGTATTTGAACCGCAAGAAGTTGTCCGGGTTCTTCACAAGTTTGGCAGGCCTGATGCAGAACTGTTCCGTACTTGATTTGGACACGTTTGAACGGTAAGTCGACTAGACCACTAAAGCCAAAGTAGCTGAGTAAGGCACCTGAACAGATTGTTTGCTCATGGTGGAACTCAATAAATTTGTTTTTAAAGGAGAAACGCCCGTCTGTTTTCAGCCTACCCTATTCGTATCTATGCAGCTGTTTTCCCAAACAGCTACCGGCTATTCGACGTACCAGTTTGGTGTTTATCGAACCGAATTTCTCTTGTGTCATGGTGCTTTTCAACTGAATGCATCGCACTAGTTGTTACGATGCTCGTGAATAACGTAAGGTTGATGGAAACTCGAAGACTGTGCCTACCAGATGAGCTCCAAGAGGAGTGAAACAAGTCATTAGCTGTCAGCGTTTCCAGCAACCTTCTGAGTAGCGTGTCACGTCCAGCTCCCGGTTATCTTCGATTAACTTCTGATAAATTGTTTTCCTACTGAGTATAAGTGTCTCAAATTAAATGTTATGAGGACCGTTCAGTTGCCGCGGAATTTCACCCAGCCGCGACCAATGGCTAGCTGTTTCGTCTTTACGGGGACTATGCTAGTTGGGTTGGAATTACGATACTTTGGATTTCTTCAACTGACAAATCCAGACTCTTGATCCATTGTGTAGCCGCGACACCATGGTTGAGCGATATTTAACTCCGGATATTTCTGTCTCTTACTCAAGGGAAACCTCAGACACATTCTACGAACAATTGGAACGTTTTGCACTTTGTTTTTTGTTTTTCTCAGGTGCAACAAGGCGGAAGGCCTCGCTGTAGGCCTTTCCGATATGAAGGGCATCACAAATTTGTACGATGCCGATTTCACTTGCAAGATTTTCCGTTTCCTGCAACTACTCTGTGAAGGTCACAATCTAGGTAAGTGGTAGTTTTTGGAGACACCCAGTCGTTTACGTTGTTGGTTTAGGTTAAATTTCGTGCATTCCGCGTTAAATTCGCTTACTCAAAGGATACCTGACGTTTTTGACAAGCGTTGATGACGGAAGTTTTTTCTCAAGGGTGCGTAACTGTAAAAGTAGTCAAATCTGCATTCGTCTCCTCGTACAAACCAAACCACTGAATAGTGGAATACGACGTGGAAACGTGAAGACGGTTTCGAATCCCTGTCATTTGTCGCACCTGTTCTCACCATAACTGATGTACCTGCAAACTGACGCCATTGGCTGGACTGAATGAACAATAGTGGAATATAACGTGGAGACGTGAAGACGATTTTGAATCCCTGTCATTTGTCTCTTATATTCTCACCATAACTAATGCATCTGCCAACTGACGCCATTGGCTGGACTGAATGAACTGGGCAGCAACATGCGATTTGACCCAATCACAGGGCAAACTATCTGACCAATCAGCTTGGCCCACTCGAAAACCTCATTTGTGTGAGCTCAAGGTTTCCTGTATCTGCTCGATCAGCGTTCACACACTGGTGTAGCGGTAACACTACTGATGAGGAGGCATGCGAGTAGTATGTTTTCTTGTAAATTCGCTTTGTGTCTCTTGGAAAAGGGAGATCTTTTGCGGAATTAGTGGGGTCGCCTTGTAGCATTTGCTTGCATTTGAGTAACAGTCAATGAATGTCCAGGAAAGTTCAGAAAGACGCGTTCAAGGAGAACAGTTTTTGTAAACAAGATGCATATGAGAGTTTTGCTCCCCCGTCCAAAAGTCTGTAGCTGTTCAGTTGGTGTTTCTCTAATAAACAACTCCGCAGTGAAGGCCTTCTTCCTTTCAGCGGTATATAGACTATTCGCAAAAAAAGCTACTCTGTACAGAATCCCGGTTACCTGAACTGTTGCAAATCACCCCTACGTGATTGTTAGGTTTCCAAACCAATTCTCCAAAGACTCCATCATACAAAGAACATCACAAGCGGTAACTACATACCCTTAGGACCAAATATGGTTTGTTTTAATTGACTACTTTTACACCAGAACAGTGCGGCACGAGGGACGGTAGTGCAGAGTTCCGATGTCAGACAAATCATTTATTATACACGAAATTTCCCCAGTTTCTTTCCTGTGATTTGAACTGATTTAAACCCAAGCGTTGACATCTTCCTCATTTGTCTTTCAAAAACCGAACTACCTCTGACAATCGAATCGTTTTGCTTTCAACTTGCAGCGTTCCAGGACTACCTCAGAACGCAGGCCGGAAACACTGTCTCGGTTAATCTGATCATAAGCACAGTCGATTACTTACTGCGTCTACAGGATTCAATCATGGACTTCTATTGGCACTACTCAAACAAAGAGACCATAGACGAATCGGGAAAGAGCAGCTTTGTGCGAGCTATCAAAATCGGCAAACAGGTGTTCCGAAGTCTGACCGAGTATATTCAGGTAGATTTTTCCGATTTTTTTGTTTTTCACCTGGTGACGGATCTTATCAATAGCGAGACCCAAGTGTATATTTTTGGTGCCAGAAATTGTGAGACCAGTTTGTTTTACTCTCTTTTCCGTTTCCTAAGACATTTTAGCCCCGAAAGATCATCAGTCCGGTTAGCGACCTTGACCTTAGTGGCCTTGACACCGACAAGGCAGCAGACTTTCCTGTCGGTGTCCAATTGATACCGAATTGTGGAAAATAATCATCGCGAACCAGCATGATCAGTGTCGAGGGTTATAGTCACTCGACTTTAGTGCAGGACTAGTTAATCAGCAACCGTTGGTCTCCTTTTGAGAGAGTCCATTCTGATGGGTCACAAACAAGGGAGAACCATGTCATATGCTCAGTTTTCCTTGTCCATAGCATTCATCCTAGTCAGTTATTCCCAGACTACCTTGGGCAACCTTACTACCCCTAATTCCGCAACTTCATACACCGTCCCCAACAGGGTCCATGCGTTGGTAACCAACTGGCTTTGGCTCATAGCCGTCTCTGGGATGCGGTTGGTGGATTCATCTACGTGTCAGCACAAATGCAGGACAAACTGAGTCGAGATCCGGATCAGTTGGATCTGCTTCGAGAATTCCTCAATCTCCAAAAAGAATTGATGATCATGTTGTTGTCGATGCTCGAAGGAAATGTGGTCAATGGACCGATTGCTCGCCAGATGGTGGACACACTGGCTGAGTCCTCTGCCTACGTAGAGGTGAGTTGTGCCTCCACTAGTCACGTGAATAGTCATAATGCGAAGAAGACAGAAACAGGTGGAGCTATATAAAATTTTTGCCTGAAAAAGGGGAACGGCGCGATATTAATCTAGGGTTGACTTTTATAGAATATGATTTGACATTCTTCGTTAAAGCAGTGGCAAAACTCAGTTTTTAATGTCTAGGTGAGTCAAAGATGAACTTTAAAAGCTGCAACAAGAATCTCTTTGACATACTGTCACAATTAAATCCTAAAGTATTCTAATCTCCCGGATCTCCGTTGGAATTGTTTAACCTCTTCCCCTCCCATTTGAAGACGAAACGTTTGCCTCTCACATGATTTTCCCCTTACCTTGTAGATGATACTGAAATTCTTCGACATCTTCCTTCGAATGAAAGCAATCACAACATCGGATGCCTTCCTGGTGAGTGTTTACTTTCGGCCATTCTGATCTTAAACGATCCTGAAACAAAACACTGCAGGCCCTCTTAGGCATGTTCAAATTCGCTACGTACTTATCGATTAACTATAGACCACAAATTCCCCGTTTCCGCTCAAGACAGATGTCTGCAAAATGAGAACGCCTGGGTCGGTAATATCTTCACCGGAGATTTCACCCGTGAACCAACAACTACTTTAGGATGGTAGTGAAAAAAACTCCCCATTGATCGCAAAACTAACCCTGTTTTCATCAGGTGATATGTCATTCACTCCACTCGATTCTGGTGGGCAGACTTTGCATTAAAACACCACGCAATTCGCAGCAGTAATGAACGTTGTTTTTCTCACCTTCAGGCGTTTGATGTCAACGGTGATGGATGGATTTCACATCGGGAGTTCCGAAACGCACTGGAACAACAGAAAACCTACACTGCGTGAGTACCACGGGCTGGATTTATTTGCAACAAAAAACACTTTCTCGTGTTACTGATGACCTAGTTACAACGCTGGTAAAGAGTACTTTCCTCAGTGCGCTTGGTCGATTTGTCACCTTGTACTCAGAGCAATGAAGAAGGCCTTGCGGGGACTTCGGATAACTCAGGCATTCCAAAAGAGATAACTGAATCATGACAGTCGAGCTTCGCGAACTACATAATCCAGTGGATGCGGAGCACACTTGATCGATGAGCTGTCTGCAAGGTCAATCTTCCATGGCGAGAATTTCGCGGTCGAGATTCAAAGTGAAACCATCTAAAATAACTCCAACTTTTGTATTTCAAGAGATTTCGCATGTCAGATGTCAGATAGAGTTCAAAGTTCACCCGACACGGCGAGGGATGTGCACTGCTGATGAGAGGCCAGTGCTTCTCGCCAATTGGGTTGTGGACTCACCAGGAAGACTGTTCCTGCGAAGGTGATGATTCTTCGCTTCTCGCAACCACGACCAACTTGTTGCAGCAGACATACCGGCTGTTTTAGCCTAGTTTTTAGTGCCAGTGAACTATTTGATAGACGGTAAAGCTCTGTTCGTGATCTTTGATTTGATCTTCGCCTATGAACTAGGAGATGCTGTTTTAATGGAAAACTGAAGCCTGGATGACGTCATCCATGGTGATGAACGCACAAAATGCTCTCAGTCGTTTCCGAAGCTTCTTTTGTCCAAGCAAATGTATGTATACGTTCACTTTCAAGCCGAAGTTCGCATAGTCCCAGCTTTACTCCAGTTATATGTGTGTGCCAGATCCAACCTCCCTTCCTTATAGCAGCCACGACCGAACCTTTGGACCAGATTTTCCCCCTTTTATTTTTCTCGCACTCCAGGGAAGAAATTGGCTACATCATTGCGTGTGTGGATACCAATGCAGATGGAAAGGTGGATTTCAAGGAATTCACCGAACGCTTCTACAACCCCGCCGAAGATATTGGCTTCAATTTCGCACTCTTGCTCACCAACTTGTCTGAGCACGTGCCGTTCGATCCAAGGTGAGCACTGGATACCTTGTTGTATGACCTTAGCATATCAGTGTCTTTTTTTCTCCGAGCGGAAGACCTTTTTACAAAGAGCTCCTTTTTAGAGATTAGTACACAGTCTTCCTCCAGATCAACTAGATGGTTGCATCTTTGATAATTTCACCAACAGTGATTGTACTGCTTACTGGCCTTCTTCGTTTGAATGAGGCTAGCAGTTGTTTTTCTCTGAGGAAGCCAACTTGAGGTGCCTGCATAAGGTGCTTCTTACTCTAAGCTGGCCTTCCCAAACACAGCCTTGTGATTTTGTAACCTCTGTTTTACTAGGCTTTGAGTCGTGGCAGCATCTACCAATGAGCGTCAGAGCGTTCGATTATTGAAACGTCAAGGTTCAACTGTTGTTTAGCAAAAATCAAAGGATGGTTCCCAAGGCCATTTTGGGCCTTCGTTCCTGGTGGCGAGGCATCCAACCGGGCTTCTTGATGCGAGGTATTTCGTATTCTGAGTGAACAGGGCACATGTGCACTTTGTGTTCAGCCGTTTTGTCATCTCTTGAAGGTTCAAAACCACGAATAGTGACCGGCTCAGTGATAGGTGGAATCCCCCGCCAAAACCACTTTATTGGTCGCAGTTAGGCGCTGGTACGGTCAAGAATCTCAATGCCATTCACTAAAAGACCGGCCCAGCATCAAAGCGATCTCTGCTTGCCCGAAGGTATGGACCTAACAGCCAATCATGATCCAATATCCGCTTAACGTTGGTTGTCGGAGGCGCGTTCAGAAGGTTTATAGAAGTTTCCAGAATGTCGTCGCCTCGTACACTTTATAAACGATATTCTGTACGTGTTTTTGACGTGTTTTTGGGTGTTCATCACACATTGCGCACCTCTGGTGGTTCTATTGCCGATCAGCGCGAGAGCTGAGCTGAGGCATTACCGTTATCACACGCGCTTCGTCGGTATTCCTGGTTCGCCAGACCGATACTATAATTCTTAAACCAACTAAAAGCCTATCCAGACAAGAAATTGGTGAAATGACTGAGGAGGAAGCGTGACCTCAAGATTTTACACAAACGTACTCGTTTACACTCCCTCCTATTGAAGGTAATTTGGGTCTCCTAAAGAGCGAGCAATTTCTCGAAGTTTCATTTTTCATGGGATACTTAAACCAACTTTGAAACACAAGGACACAAAGAACCAACCTGCTAAAAAGCTCACTTAATGATGAAATGTCCTGTACAACGCGACTGCAAAGTACAAGTCCCTTTCCAACCCTTTGTGAACCCTTACGAAGTTTAAAACGAAGGTTACTCATCTGTCTAGGCCCCCCCCCCAAACTTTCATAAGCATCAACATAGATCCCGCCAAAACGCAGGTAAATCCGTTCCTCCTCGGGGAAGTTTTAGCGTACAGGGCTTTGGAATTTGAAGCCATCCGCACAGAGGCTTGTTGTTCTCTTTACCAGCGGTGAGCTGTATTGTGGAAAGCTGTTGTAGACAAAAGAGCCAACTACGGTGATGTTTTTGGGGATTGACTCGAATATCCAAGTGACGGCCATCCAGAAAATGACCGACATCGTCCAAATGTAAAGTCCAATTACGCAAGCATTCAGAACACACTGAAGAGGTTCTTGGTTAACTACGTAGTAAGTAAAATCTGCAAGTCCACAACCTTAGGATGGCGTTTGGCGTGATTGTTTGTCCGACCAAGAAAGTTTCGTGAATGTGTGCCTTATGGATCGATCATATTGATCGATAACTTGGTCGGTGGTTGTGGACTGGCGTTCATATTGAAGATGCACAGTCTCGGTGCCTAACTGTCATGCGACCAGAAGGTTGCACGAGGGCTGGGCTACTGCCGGGCTGCCCAAGCTTGGACAGGGGAAGTCGAGAGGCGGGTTCAAACCACGGACCTTCCGGTCAGTAAATTCGCGCTTAGGCCATCTCGCCCCTCTGGATAGTTAGACTTCGTATTGAAGTCTATCCAACAAACCAATACTGACGGACAGGGATGAGCATGAATGGATGAGCAACTGAGTGTATTATGCTAGCGTCATTTGGACCATTCTTGTTTATTTACACGCTCAAACGAATACGACCCGCAGGTCCATTGAGATGTGTCAGGATGCGTGCCTCGTGCACAGTCATCCGATGATAAATGTCTGAATTTCGTGGGCCAGACAAGTCTCCTCAACATTTGGATCAGTTACACACCCACATCATTTATTCACAAGTATCTGCGATGGGAAACTCAGCTATGTATCGCCACTCCCCTCGTCTTTTTATACCCCATCCTCATCGCAGCGCTTTTCTAAGATCACTGTAGAACCAGGTGCGCGTGGTTCCTGGGTAAACAACCAGTTGAGCACCCACACTTTACTTCCACTCGACTTCTGATAAATTATTTGATGGAACACAATCCATTTCTTTCGTTTCTAATATTTTCGGCAAACTTTCCTACCGTCTTCTCGGACTCCTTTGGTCACAGTAGGTTTGGAAAGTTGAACAAAACTTTCGAGTTATCGTTTTGCGGATTACGCAGTTACTTTGTACATACTTCCGTGTAAAATCACTAGGTCACTGTTTCTTGATATAGCATACGAATTATCCAGTTGGGTCTCCCGTTAACATCGAATTAATTCGTTTGATCAACTTCTTGTGTATGCCGACGTCTCTCTACTAGCAATGACCAATAATATCGATCTTTCCTTACGTCAGACTTGAACGTCTGGTTGAAAAAGCTCGCGGTGTGCTAGATGTGTTCGAACCCCACCTAGGTCGGATCGAAATCACCGGCTCCAACGGACGCATTGAGCGCGTGTATTTTGAAATCCGGCAACAGCATATCGATCAGTGGGAAGCCCCTCAAATCAAGGAATCAAAACGTTCGTTTCTACATTCGGTTGTCGGAGAGAGTGGCGATAAGGAGAAGCTGGAATGCTTCGTCAACTTTTGTGAGGACACAATTTTCGAAATGCAGCATGCTCAGGAAATCAACGGCGACGAGGCCGACATGTCTTTGAGCAAGGTTAGTTGATCCTATGTTTCGCGCTCGGAGCCTCTTTTCTCCCTCTGAACGGTTTGGTTTGGTACGCTGAACGATTATCTCACGGGGTGAAGGCACCCTTGGACACTACAGATGTACCACTGATGGTCAAACGTCTCCGTAGAACGGATGGTTGGTCCCCTTTGGAACGAAACGAATGAGTAGATCACCGAGTTCGCGGATACACCCCACGAGAAAGTCACAGGACCACCCATGTTCTGCATCACATTTCCGGTTATAATGCATTGGGTTGAATGCTTCCCGACCGGCAGGCTATATATACTATTGTAAATGAGATATTACAAAATTCAAGTGGTTTTGAAGCGAATAATTCATGATATAATGACGTGGTATGGTGAATTCTATGCTCATTTTGGTGTGAAGCTTCTATAAACCAATTTGCTGTACGAGCAAACAGTTTGATTGAAGCTTCTCTGTACTGTTCCAAAACAGAACAGTTCTCGGGGTCGGAGCGGACTCTGCATCCGTGTAGACTCACTCCACTTGCATACTGAATGGGGATTTCAGGACTACAAGCCAACTCGTTCATCTGCTCGACGGGACAGAACAGAAGCTGGCCTATTGAGGATGTGATAGACTGGAACCAGCGTGTCGGCTTCCTCAAGGACCGTTTTCAGGACCACTGATGGCAATGAATCTGCCTCAGAACCGTGCACTAACCCCCTGTTGTCTATGTAATAATTTTATAAGCTAGAAGAACACTCTGAACCAGTGGTTCCTTAAAAAACCAGTTCCTTCTGTAATGGCCCCCCATCTGTCTGGTTCATCGATGTGGACCACTGGCAATGACAGTGTTTCATCGCCTACTCCACCCGACAGAAGATTCAGTTCAAGATGACAGATACTAATAACCTCTCCGTTTGAGACCAGCACACTTCTCTGTTCTCGATCAGGGACGGTCCTTGCATTTGTAGAGCGTGTCTGGTAGCCACCCTGAGCTTAAACAGTTCTTTCTTAAATGCGATAAACTCCTAGCCTGACTGAACTGTTTCTCAGCGCACAAAGTGAGTGAATCGAGGATACTGGGTGCTTTCTAGGACTTCGGACAGTTGCCTGGAAGACGGGAACAAGGCAACACAGGGGTTCACCTCCGTAACAGCTTCAATCGCTGTGTTACGTTCCATGCGGCCAAGAAGTTGGACTGGTCAAATTCCGATCCCCATCAGGACCTCGTATGGTACATAAGCGCAGCGAAGGTGAATGTACAACGCCTCTGATATCAGAACAGCCGCTATGAAACGGAATGGGAGGTTGATGGCCAAATAGTTGGATAGTATCGTCGACTGTCTGCCGACAAGCCGATGTCATGGGCTCGTACCAAGTTTTTTTCATTTCCTACGTCTCTATAGTACTTTATTGCCAGTCTTGTCACTCTTACAACAGTCTTGCGAATTTTCTCTCAAAGGAAACTACTCACAAGGTTGCTGTGCAGAATACAAAAAACAAAAATTCAGTTGAGTCTCTCGAGAAAACAAAATTGATTTGCAGCTTAGTGTATTTCTCGAAAACAGTACAATTTGGGTTCAAGTAGAACGGAAAGGTGGACGGAAACTCGGGGACTGCGCCTACCTGATGAGGCCGAACTGGAAGGGCGAAACCGGTCGTGGGCTGTCGAAGAGTTTTCAGCAACCTTGCGAGTAGTTTCCTTTATGAAAATATACTACGTTATCTCGAATATCGTGCCAGCTGAAACATGAGGCGGCCTGTGTGCAGCACGTTCAGATTTAGAACACCGTAAACGAGAGATTCAGTTGAGTGGAAGCTGACAACCCTGTTGTCTGTTGTGGATCGCACAACACAAGCTCCTGGGTAACCAGCTGTATGTTCTACAGTCCTTGATTCAATTGGGTGGTTAGGTTCACACCACAGTGCAGTGTGTGAATGAACGTTTTGGGTGAACTGCAAAGATATCGTGGTTCTTGGCTTTTTTCAAACATTTTGGTTGATAACGCAGACTCAACCTAATATGTAGACGAATCGTCCTGTCCCATCCAGTCGATTAGCGCGTAATTTCATCTTGTACTTTGTTCCTCCTTGCTGACCACAATTTCTAACCGCACCATGCGTTTTATTATCTGTGTTTTCAAAGACGGCTGCATTCAATCGATTTCTGGAGATCACACACTTGGCTTTCATTGGTCGGGCGTTCTCCACACTCTTCCACTATATAAGTCCTTCCTACATTGCATCCGGATGGTCCACACTCCGTCAGATGTCCTGTTCCGACATTGTTCTCGCTTTTCTTGGTTTGCAAATCGGCATTCTAATTTGTCTGACGCGTTGCGCAATGTTTGGCGTGCGTCTTGTTGGACAAATTATCGTAGCAATGGCCTCGGACCCTGGCGCACAAACCGGTGCGCCCAAGTCCAGAGCTATGCGTGCAATTGTGCCAGTGTCACCGGGAGGCTCGCTGCATTTGCCTCCTTCACAGGTGAGTAGTAGTAACCTTATAATCATTGGTACGCTTTCTGATGCACCCGGCAGTTGGACGCACATGTGATTGATGGGAGGACGATGAAACGAGCTGTCTGGGTTTGTTGGGTGCATTTCCAGTGATTTTACTAATATCCTGTTGATACCAACATCTGTGTCGAAGGGGGTCTGAGCTCTTTTCGAATACCAGATCCTTGATCTCAAATTGCCGGCTTCCAATGGACTGGTTGCATCCTCAGGTTCGTTTCAGACAATCAACTCTACATGGTCCGTTCCAGGTGCGCTGCGAATGCAGGCAGACTCAATTTTGTTCTGTTCTCTGTATACAACGATAGCACAGAATGAAAGGAAGCTGGCCTCCACCATTTGTAGGTCTGTCCGAATTTTTCGCATCCACCGAGTGGTAGTTTACCTCATCATTCCGTCTTTGGATCGTCCATCTGGAAAGTACGAAAGGAATTCACACCTTGCATGATATGACACAACATTCAAAAAGTCTCGCTGACAGGTCTTCGAAAGCACACCACCTGTTTCACGCATCTTGAAGGTCATTGGGTAGCAATTGAAAATTGGGTCTGTGCGAATGAGGGGCTCAGCCGAATTCCCGCTGAACTTCATGTGCTGCACGAAGGCAGGGCATTAGAGATATCCACTACCCGTTATACCCTTCGTTAGGTTATAATAACCCCAGAAATCAATGTAGCGCACAGAGGCAGCTTCGTGTTTCGGTATACAAGAGACTTAGGTTGATGAGAACTTCTTGATAGCCTCACTGAGCAATAGGGTTTCTATCGGTTACTGGCTGAACCCCGTAAACCAATGCGTGAAACAGGTTTTATAAGCGGAAGTGGGACTAGAAAGCTCTGAGACCCGGTCATGTATGGCCGGAACATGTGTACGAATCCAGTCCACACATACATGTGTTTATTTCCGAAAGAGATTTGCTTGAATCTCTTTTTACATTCGTATATGTCATCCACTTTTCCATGTATTCAGGAACATCAATGGTGGCTGCTCTCAGAAGATCAGCAATTGCTGTTGGAGCGAGTAGATCCCAACGAATTGGCGGCCATGGAAGAGGAATATGACCGTGCTAGATCGGCCGCCGCAGTTAGCGCGGCCTTGGGTAGGTCATCCAGTGGTACTGGCAGCATGTCGGAAGGTGAGTGAATAACGTCGGAAATGCCGAACTTTTTCCCCAGCTGTCAGTAGGGTACATTGTTGCCAACTTGAAAGAGAGGTTGCTCCGCCATCAGAGACTATGTTACTTCAGCCTAGTGCTCTTGAATTGCTCTTGAGTTAGCATCAGGCGTTTCGAGTGTGGGTCACGAGACTATGACTAGGTTAACTTTCCCCTTGAAAAAACAGCCCACCACGGTGGGAGGGTGGGCGCTCTTTGGCGAATTGTGTGCTCTAGGAACCTGCCAGAGGATTGGTTTCTGGTTGAACGGTCGCTCCGGAGGAGGGTACGGTATTATGCCCCCCTCAGGTTCAACTACTGTCACTTATTTTTGAAGAACACGGTCACAAACATCAAAAGTGACTGCAAGCGACGAATGCGAAAGGGTAACAGGAGAATATGAGAGAAAATATAGAAACGCCTCATTCAAAGTCATGCCAAGAACAGTTCCTGTCTGATGAGATCAATCCCCACGTATGTAAAAATTTTGATATGGAAACACGCGTCCAAAGACCAACAAGTGAAGGAACGACAAACAATGTTGAATGCTCTTCAAGGCGCGGTAAGCGCTAGCACAGTGAAGACTAGCACATCAAGCACAAAGTGTCCGTCATACTGGGCCTGGTGTGAGGTTAAATGGTAAAATGTACATACAAAATGTCATAAGTACGCAGAGAGCCCACAATCGCAAGCAAACACAAGTCACTGACTGTAACCTTAGGAAGTCCCAGTCCAATAACATCCTTGGCGGATTGAGGAAAGCAGATCCTTTCTACAACTGGTATCGACACAAGACGACACGTTTTCTGCGTTTTTACCGAGCAACACTGAAGTTCGCTCCACGTGATCATTTAAGGACAGTGGTTACACCTGCTAGCAATATCGATCTGACTGGTAGCAACAAGACGCTGCACTTGTCCAGCCCGAAATAGGGTTTTTCATACCAATTTTTGGCGGACAGGTTCTTTACATTTGTGAGAATTAATCTTTTTATGTTTGCATAAAAAACTTGGTTAATTTGAGACGTTTCACGATTAGTATTCTTGGTGGCAATTTTAAATCACTTGGTTTTCGACAGGTGTTCGTTTTCGAAAAAGCAAGTTTTTTTTCCCGTTCAGATTCTGCCAGGCCAGATTCCCCGGCCTGCTAAATCTATTTTGCTTTGACGATCATTCGTTATGTGGCATGCCTCTGTGCTTTCTGCCCAACCAGTTCAATTGTGCATTCTATCTGTGTGAGTAATCTGGCGATCGATCCATTTCGAGCACTACCCACGAATGAGGGAACTAAGCACCGTGCTTTTCACAGATTGCATGACTTATCGTCAAGGCATTCACTGAAAATCAGTAAATTTCTATCGGTGTTTTATGGCAAAACTAACTATGGCCTTCCATCCAGAATCATTCTGTTTCTCCAATCGATTGAGGAGTTGATACGGGGGATTCAAGCATATTCTGATAGAGTTTAACATTTTGGTCAATTCCTTTGGTCGCTTACAGCATAGCTGCTGTTTGATTGGACGTTTTGGGACAAGACTAGTTGCATGACTGAGTGGTTTGAATCACTTGTGAGCGTCCCTTTTGAAGACAGCCTTCAATGTTGTCACCTAGGTCACAGTGAATTTCGAAATATTGCACCCTCTATAGCCGGGTTTTTGTATTGCCCAACATTATGGTGCCTACCGAGTTTGGGCGGTTTGGAACTTCGGTGGATCCAAGGCCATTGTTTCCGAAATATGCTGCAACGATGCCAAGGCTGTGTGCCTGTTAGGCAGGACCAAGTGCACGAGGTAGTCAAACGGCCATCAAGCAACGTTTGAACTGTTTGCGGACCGAATGATGGGTAAATAGGCGAGTAGTAGTCAACAGACAGTTGCGTAGACTGGGGGTCAAGGGCAATCAACTCACGTTGGCCTGGAGTTGTGATCACGTCACAGAAGAACAATCAAGCGTCAAGCCTCTCTGCAGTGACGCTGCTGGTCCCGAGAAAAGACGAATCACGGGGCTGACTGGACCTTAAGCAATGCCTCCATTGGTCAGACGACGTTTGATGACTTGCCCACCAGGGCCAAAATGTGCCAGAAACTTTAGCCATGAGAAATTTCACAATCCACTTGATCTGCGTGTTAGAATTAAAAGCCAGGTTCCGTTATCTTATCCACTGGTACCTTGGGTCAAGGACTGTCGGTTGAATGGTTACAGCTCACACATACTAGTAAGCAGTGGTGCGCAAGATTCACCAGCAAAGCCTTACATTCCACGACTGCCTTTTGTGGTAATCTGGTCACAGACAAAAAATCGGGTGTCTGAGGGACCATACTCTGTTCTTTTGTCTCGCTGTTGTCCTTTTGTGAAAAGTAAGTGAGAAAGAGCTGTGCTTTCAAGCCGATGAACAATCCCATAGCTGCACACACCGCATGGTCCAAACAGACGGTGAATCCGCTTGATTGGCCACCTTGGATCACTGCTTTCCACACTCGAATTGTCTGTCCAAGCACGTAGCCTGACGCTTACATCTGGAGACGGCTGATCCACATTGATTTGTTTGCCCAACAGATTGCATGTCCAAACTTGCATCTAAGGCAGATCTCCATCTGTGTGCCCTAAGCCCCCTCCCCGCACAGGGATATTGTAAGCAACCTTGTGTATTCTACCTTGTCGGAAATGACATGTTAAATCAGTTGCCCACATTCTTCGTTGTTTACCTTCAGGAGGAAACGCCAGCATGCGTACTAACGCGGGAATTCACACCGCGAATCTAGTGTCGGGACCGACTGCTCATCAGGCTGTCCTGGAACCTATCAAGCTGGTTCAAGTCCCGAAGAAGGCCGCTGAACCGAAACAGGCAGAAGAAGATAAAACTCCACAGTTCAACACGCGAGCCTACATGATTTCGCTGTTTGCGAGCAACTTTTACCGCTTCAAAATCAGTGCACTCATCCTCGCCTTCCTGATCAACTTCTTGCTGTTGTTTTTCAAGGTCAGTTCTGCTATGCCTCCTGTCAGGTGTGACTCACATTGCGCCAAGACAGAATTATCTTTTATTTTATGTCTGGTTCTTTCTTATTAGAAAACAGTCACACTCACCTCCTCTTGATGTGTTCAGGTACACCAAGCGCATTCCAACGAGGAGGGATTAGACGACGTCTCTGAAGGAGCATTGGCTACGGCTGCCTTGCGTGCAGCGGTCGGTGATGCTGCCGAGGGTGCAGAGGACGCAGAGCCTGAGGAATGGATAACTTTGGCCGACTCAAATGCTTACATAGCGCCACTGATAGCCATCTTGGCGGCCATTCACTCCCTGCTATCTTTCAGCATGCTGATCGCCTACTACTACCTGAAAGTACGTGTTTCAGGGTTGTCTAATTCCCCTCACAGAGACAAACACATCAGCAGTGCTCAGTATCGCTTCACTCAGTTTTACTAAGATGCAATTAAGACCTAATGTACACCTGAGTTTCAGCCTTTTACCAGCATCGCCAAAACCACACATCTCCAACTAATGCATCATTTCGAATCCCGTAGGTTCCCTTGGTGATCTTCAAACGAGAGAAGGAGATCTCCCGAATGTTGGAATTCGAAGGGATGTGGATCTCACAGCAGCCGGCTGAAGACAACCTCCGCGCCCATTGGGACAAGCTTGTACTTTCCACTCCCTCATTTCCACAAATGTACTGGGGTAAATTTGTGAAGAAGAAAGTGCGCAACAAGTACTCAGTGCAGTACGACTACGATGAGATCACGACGCTTTTGGGAATGGACAAACCTGTGCCGGAGCCTAATGGAACAGGGGGTGGTTCCATCTTCAGCTTGTAAGTCCGCGGCCTTATCAATGAGTCCGACCTCACTTGCGTTTTCACGGGAGACTTAGCTGAATCTGTCGTGTGTGATGTCCTTATGCTCCTCCGAGAAGGGCAAAACCGGTCGTGCGTGGTTGTTTGAAAGTTTTCAACAACCTCATGAGTAGTATGTTACGTCAATGCAATAGTTGGCGGATGTTTTTTTCCATTACGCCGTTTTTCCAGCGACACAGCGGTTCTTCACAAGTTCCAAATTTGTGAATCTGTCACTTTTGAATATAAATATAAACGAATCATCCTGACTCCAGTCTACCAGGTTCTGTTCATCTCTGTTTCAGTTTCAGTGGCGTGGATATACAATATCTTACATGGAAGTGGGGAGTCGTATTCACGGATATTGTGAGTAAATCGTCTACTACTTATGGGTCCACTTTATTCGGATTTTATCTGAGTTTTTAGTTCATCTGTGATACTGCTCGTATCATTTTTTAGTCATAGACTGTCCAATTACTGAAGTTTAATGCACTGTGTGTTCATAAATCCACGCAAGGTAGACGGTTACCTGACTGGTAGTCACTGTTGGTGAAGACCAGTTGAATTCTATCAGTTCTAGTCATCTTGTGAAAGACGTGCCTGTGATGAGTTGTTCGTAGACTTGGATTGACAAGGAACTTTTGGTGTAAAGTCCATTGTAAGCGATTTTGAATAAAGAGCGTTTCGGTTTACTCTGATGTGCCGTTGAGTAGAATGTTGATAGCTCAGGCAGTATAGATGGCCGTTGGTTTGTTCTCTAAGTTGGACAGTTTAATTGCAAACGTTTCTTCACCAATCGAGGTGACATCACCAGTGCATTGTTAGGGGGGCGTAGTGGAGCGCAGCGATGGTCTGTTGTGCTACGCTTCACCACGCTCCCTCGCAAACACTGATTGGTGATGAAACGTTTTCAGTCAGCTCATGGAACGAGCCAACGATCAACTAACTTGAAGTCTTGTTTCGTTCAAAACTCCAAACCCCACAGACCCTTTGGATAGTCTGGGGATGGCTTGAACGAGATGAAAAATTACTCAAGGACACCTTGGGGCCTACAGAAGACCGGCATGTTAGGTTGACCAGTTTCGAGCAGCTGAAACGGAAATAGCGGAAAAAGTACTAAGCGTAGCCTACGAGAACCAGACCAAGTCATATTCTGGGAGAAACTCCAGGACTCAGTGGATTTTCGTTCACTTGCCATGAGAACTTTGTTGGTTGACCCCACCGCGTCGACCTCGATACCATTCCTTTTGTGGTATCGAAATCACCATTGACTAACGAATATTCTGCTTTCATTTCCAGTCATTCCTCTACCTCGCTGTCTACTTTGCTGCGTCGTTCTTTGGCAATTTCAACTATTTCCTCTACGCGTGTCACCTGTTGGATGTGGCCGTATCGTTCAAGACTTTGAGAACGATCATCCAGTCCGTGACACACAATGGGAAGCAGGTAGGTGGGGTTCGTTTGACTTACTTACTTTGTCCGGCTGGCACGCCGGATGTCTGGTTAGTTGCATTATCCACTTGTACGGGTTTCGTGAAGATAGAGACGCTGGTCCGTCACGAGGAGACTGGACCTTACTGTGGTGTGACGGTTTGCGACCCATTGAGCTATGCTAGGGGGTGTCCCTGCGACGCTCATAGAGTCAATGCTAGGAGGTCTGACGAACACAGTCTCCTGGTCCTCCAGGTTGGGGGTCGGAACATGTGGCGAATTGTTTCGTAGAAATGGCAATACGTTTGCATTTCCCGCCAAACACCGCTGCCTTACGGTTAGGCTTTTGAGCCAAAGGTTAAGGACCCTAATCGTCCTCCTGTCTCGGTGTGGGGGCCCTGACAATATTCCAGCTCACGTACAATCATGATAGCTACGTCAAACAATAAAGTCATACCACATCGGTCGTCGCGTGGCGCCAGATCGCCTTAATTTCTGCGTACAGCGGGGCGGGTAAGGGACAACAGACTACTATTGACGTCTCCCTTCTCTTTCTTTGTACGGCAGTGAAGCATCGGTGTTGAACACTGCTGTCATCCTGTCGATGAAGATGATGACGCGGGTACCTGGGTGGGTGAACTCAGTTGGTGACCTACCAAACCAAATGGTATTCAAAATCAGTTTGTTTTCAGCTATCATCCGGTGCTCCCACTTGGGTGTTATGTCTCGTAAAACCACCCCAGTATCTTGACCCACTTCCGATGAATTCGCCCATGACCCCGGGGTGACCTAGTTTGAGACAATGCAAGAAGCTCACGTGCACTTTTCCGAAAATAAGTAACTCGATGTGAACTGCGTGTTTGACGACAGAATGGTGCGATGTTGTGGCCAAGTCAAAGAGATGGTTCGGTGGTCAGAGCGCGAATTTACTGAGCGGAACGTCTGTGGTTCGAACCGGGTCTCTGCAACTCGCTTTCTTCTGTCTAGACTTGGGCAACCTGTCAGTAGCCCAACCCTCATGCCTCTTTCGAGTGGCATGGCAGCTAGGTAGCGAAAGGGTGTTAAAGTTGAACGAAAAAAACCCAGTTAGTCACATTGTTGACCAGCCATCCACAACCAAATGGTAATGTTCCACCTCCTGCGGGTTCGGATCGTCTCAGTGATTCTTGAGAACTGCACTGTACTTCTAAATACGGATGAATCAACCACTCATTGTCTCTTGAGCACTCCAGGATCGGTTCACTGCACTTGAGAAATAGAGCTCTGGTTTGCCAGTTTGATCTGAAACCTTAATCGGGCGGAAAAGCGTTTAAACAACTCGCAGGGACTCCTAAAATTGCATGCTGCTGAGGCGCCACTCTCCAAAGCATTTGCTTTGGGCGTTGACAACACAGAGGGCTGCCACTGTTCCTCATCCCAAGCTGACGCACCTGCTTGCGTTTGCTGTCAGTTTGCTTTGCTATTACTGACACCCCTGAGTTATGTACGGCTCTTAACCCCCAGATGGACCTTCCTGGTTTTGGTCTCGTTTTCCCCGTGGATCACCTAGGCGACTCGAACTCGTACGCCTTTTGTTCATTGTTTTGGTTTACGGGCTTGATTTTTGTTTTCCCACAGAATGTTGATAAAATGTCCTGCCCTTCAGTTTTCTCGAAACCCCCCCCCCGCTTCAAATGGGCAATTAAATTTTGGGCTGAAAATAACTAAAGAAACTAAAGTTGGTGATATACACAACACTGGGTAATCGATAATTTAGACATTGACAACACCCTCTTTGATGACATCCTCGCGAATATGGCCACTTTGCTGTTCACGCCCAGACAAGGTGTGTTTGCGAGTATACACTCGTTTGCAAATTAATTTGCTTTTTCGAGAGACCCACCTGGAACCCAGCTGAATCTCTTGGTTTTGATGTTTCCAGGTTTGGTTTTTAAGATCTATCTGTGACGTCTGAGCGGTGTTCATCCCGTAGCCCGGAGAATGAAGTTATACGTTGATGATTCGACTAAAGAATATCACGTGATTGATTACTGCTACCTTCCGACAAGCTATCGATTTGTGGAATCACGTAATTTGAGGAGGGCAAGGAAACTGAACTGATGGAAAACAGTTGTACTTAATTTTATGACGAAACCGCCCAGAATATTCTCCAACATGTGGGGAATTACAGCAACATTAAGGCATCCGAGTAAGCAAAATTGAGATATCTAAGCCTGGCGTTGAAGCAGATGGCCGATTCATTCATTCTGAAGAAGTCATCAAGCTTAATTTCAGGTAGCTCATTGTGCAGCTTGTTGTCAGTCTTCTTTTGCTGTGTTGTCTTTGACCTCTCCGCTGTCAACCTGAGAGAGTCTTGGAATATCACCACCGGTCTGACCATAGTTGTACCCGAGGGTTGTACTTGGTTACAGCTATGAAGGAATTACTCCTTGAAAAACGAATCACCCGCTCTCGATTCATTTCAGACTAGTTTTGCCATCTGTTGCCCCATTGTCATCCCCACTTTCAGCTGGTGTTGACTGTCATGTTGACCTCCATTGTGATCTACTTGTACACGGTGATTGCCTTCAACTTTCTGCGAAAATTCTATGTGAAAGACAATGATGGCGTCCAAGATCCCAAATGCAATGATATGATGACGGTAAGTTTGTTCCTTCGTCTTCTGTTTATCTTGACGAATGTTAAACCTTGTAATAGTTAAACCTTCCTGCACGGGATCCGTGAGGGACCTGTTTCAGCTGAGGGAAGTTGTCGACGGGAAAAATTCCATAGACCACACGTCTTTTTCTGGTGATCTTGTCGGATTATGGCGTAATTCGGCATGCTTCACTTAGAGGACGTGCTTCATATGTTCTGCAACTGTGACGTGTGCTTGGAGAAGCCACTACGTGGTAGGGTTTTGTTATTGTTTCCGTCTACTCAGGTTTTTGTTCGGGTGTTCTCTGTTTTCTCTACCAACACACCACAATCTGCTGCGCACCAATCAAACATGTTTTCGCTGAGTTGGCGCTGTTTGTAAGGCTGAAAAGCGTGGAAGCACTGATCACAGCTGTTTCATCCTTATTGGGAATCATTAGCAGCGCGCATCTCACGAAACTCCGGAAAGTCTCGAACCCGCGACATCCTGGTTAGTAGTTTGAACATCTAACCGTTCGGCCACGAGTGGCTGATCAGCAGTGTGATTAACTCGCACTTAGACAGGATATAGCGCCGCTCATCCTTCAATC